GCACGAGAGCTAGGCATCGGTCGTGAGATGGCTCGTTTGATTTTGGTGGACAATTTGTGTATGCGACGTGTCAACGCCCGGCTTGTTCCGATTCACCTCAATTTGTTCAACATTATCAACGATTTTAAGGCCAAACATTCAATAAATACCATCGAACAGCCACCGTATTCACCTGATCTTGCACCGTGTGACTTTTTCCTGTTTCCCAACCTCAAATTACCACTCAGAGGAACGCGTTTTGAATCCATAGAAGACGTAAAACAGAATTCGCAGAGGGAACTCAAAGCCATACCGGAAAGCGCCTATAAAAAATGGTTTGATGATTGGAAGAAACGTTGGCATTTGTGTATCGCTTCTAATGGAGCATATTTTGAAGGAGATAAAATAAATATTGATGAAGATTAAGAATTTTGCGTTTGTACATTGTGACCGGAAACTTTTCGGTCACAATGTAACTCGCTATTACCTATTTTCTATTTGAAAAAAATTTCATATTATATAACTTGTCAATAGATTTATTGTTTTTACCTTTAATAACAAAGTTTTAATTTAAAGCTTAAAAATAAATAATATTCTTAAACATAATTTTGCCAACAACTTCTTGAATTTAAACAACTCACATTCAAGACGTAGAATTTGCCTTGAAAAAATTAATAGAAATTCTATTAATTTTTCATTGAATAAAACTGTCATTCGAATACCTACATTATTGGACCTTCGGTCACAATATGTGGGTGGTGAATGACATTGCGATACGAAATTGGATGATTCAGCAAAGATTATAATAATATGTTGATAAATGATATACAGAAAGAATAATTACTACTACAAATTACCAAAACTTAAGCTAAGAAACTGTTTATACAAAATTTTAACCCTTATGGGTCTTATGAGGTTTCCTTCAATGTAAAAATCTTAACAAACCTAATATATATTTTTTATTATTGTTTGTATAAGGGATATACAGTAATTTTTCATAAAGGGTATATCATAGTTCTGATGACATAGTTCCTATTTAGTAATATATATTGAACACAACTCATCCAATGCAATGGATTTGTAACAGATGTGCTGAGGCTTAACCATCAATAAAATTCAAGCTCGTCTAACAATATTACTGCTGTTAGTTAGTTAAAAAGATTGAAATTTATCCATTACATGGTAAACACATATATATATATTATATATATAATATATATATATATATATTAACTTATATTATCTTCAGTGATTGGGCTTATTTTTCAATTCATGAAGAAAAGCACATATATGTGTGGTATAAGGTTTGTTAGGAGACAAATTTTGATTTTAGTCTCCTTTTATCGTATATTATAATCCATTATAAATATCGTTTGGACTTGAAATTTTGAATATATAAAATAAGGATAAGGTTAAGGTGACACTGGCACAGCCTGTATTGAGTTACGATAGGACTCATATCTATGCTTTAATGCAAGTTTGTATAATATTAGCAACAAGTCCAAACAAAACTAACGGTGTTATTTGCTTACGATACTGTCGTACTTGCCATCGGCGATAGCTATTTACTTACAAACTGCTAATAATAACATAATTCACTGGATAAGAATTTGAAAATGAAACCCAACAATTCAAAGCCAGTGGTTTTTATTTATAATAATCGAAACATCAGGTATGTGCGAGTACTGCAATATATATAGTTATAAATCTAGGTACTAAATTAAGATAGAATCAGCACATCAACGTGAAAAGAAATGAACTAGTTTTAAAATAATAATCTATGAAATAACTATCTAATAAACTTCTTATATATAAACCTATTTGAATGGTCGGCACTCAGCTTAAATTACTACTATCCAAAAATTGTAAAATATCGTGCTATGGTGGTATAATAAATGCAAATTGAAATTTTGACCTACATCCCTTGAGAAATTTTGACCTACATCATAACCTTGAAATAAAAATTATATATGAAGAAATTCTTTGAATTGTCAATCTGCACATATCGAGACCAATTGTCACACTTACACTAAAGCGAGTAAACTGGCAGTATCAGTACGGTACCAGTACATCCTCTTAAGCGCCAAAACTCTTATGACCTCTTCGCAATTGTCAAAATAATCTAATAGACGAATGTGTGGTTGGTCTATTAGTTGTTAATTGTTTTTTTTCTAATCGTTTGTTTCTTTCTGCTACTTTTTTATTATGTTAAACGCTACATAAATGAAACTAAATAGCAGAAGTTATTATACCCTTAACGTCAACTTTATTTCAGCTATTCAGCTCCTCTGTTACTTCATTAGTAACATAACCATTACCTTTATAAGTCAAGATAGCCATATTGGTTAATACTTTTTGATTTAAACTTTTTTAAATTACATAAAAAATTTATTTTCTCTGAATATATTTTAAATTCTATTTAAATAATAATTAATTTATAATTATTTTTTAGGTACTTCATATCCGAGAGTGCTTATAACAATTGCAAATAAAAAAGTTATTAAATTTCAATTACAGACAAAACAACTTTTTTAGAGGTTTACCGAAATAAGCTCGAAATAATGGACATCGTGCTTGACTCCTCAAAATATTGCTTCTATTCAAATTGAACCATGACTTGACAAAATTTAAATATTGCGAAAAAATTAATTTAAAATTTAATGATAAAAAAAAATATGGATTTTAATTATAAAAAAATAGTTTTTCAATTGCCCACCACAGGTTACTTTGTGTTCCAATACTTCAATTCAATTACAAATACTTCAGATACAAGTAATTATAGCTCAATTTGGCATCTTCTAGCCAGAGGCTATTTTAAATTGCTTTGAGAATTATTTTTCACCTTATTGTTTAATGATTTTTTTGTTTTGTAATTTCAAGAACTAATTATATTATAATAGATTATATTTAATGTAGAATTCAGACAATGAATAAAACATCGCTTAACTTCAAAGGATACTTTTAAGTGATTGGATTTTAGTGTGTAATAAAATTTTTTTCTTTACGTTTTTTCCCTTGTTTTTATTTTATTGAAAAAAAAACTAGTAAAGTAATTCTTCCAAACAATAGAAACAGTAGATAGCATATGTACCATACCGTAGATTTAGCAAACAGTTTGAACAGTTTTTTAACAATGAATTTTATTTATAAAAAATTCCAGTTATTATAAGAGTCCCATATTCTCTAAAGCAGGCAACATCCATAAAATGCTGACCCGCTCCTTTACCACCGCTAATTAAATGTTATATATTGGCTTTTAACAATATTTTTGGTGAAGATATTAGTAACTTGTAAAATAGAATGGATATTTTTCCATCCACAGTACGTTTTAGGTTGAGAAACACTGTTCTTAAACCCTTATTCTTCAGATACTTTTAAAATAAGATAAGTAATTTAAAATGAATACGCACTCAATGAATTCCAAACACGCATTATTAAAAAGAACCAATTTGGGTTACATATTCTAACAATTTTCTATCTTTGAAATTTTCCTTCAAACATAACTTTCATTCATCTTGTTCTTGTAGAATATCTTTCGGTGACACATAATTAATGCAAAGTTCATCTCTTCTAATCTCGTACCAAATGCTTCCTACAATATAACAATATTTGATCGATGACATTGGAACGCTTTGATACGTTTTAGTGTGCTAAGCAAAAAATGTTCTACACTTAAAGTCAGAACAGACCATTTTCACTAAACTAATCACTAAAGTGTTGATTAAATATTTGTGATTCAATTATTTATAATCTTATTTTACCAAAAAATATGATACTCAAATTCATTTGTGTAACCGTACTCATGAGTATCTAGTGCCTTTGGGAATTGCTGCACTATTTTCCAAAGGACATCCGATTTTTATTACTAGTCCCGGTAAAAACTTACTCAATATTTAATTAAAAAATAGAAACAAAAGTAATAATCACATTATTATTTAACGAATTTTAACTTAAATATGAAATAAAAATCGTAAGATATGAGTCACTTCATCACTTATTACATTTTTGTTCTGTCTGTAGCAGTAATAAATATATAACATAAGACTTAGAAGAGCCCCTTTATTGGAACTTTAATTTATTTATTCATAAATAAAAATCGTATTATTATACGATCTTTGCATAAAGTTTTTCTCTAGTTAACAAAATAAATAACATATTTTTAAAATACATTTCTAACATTAATTTCATATAGTATATTTATAGGCTAAACAGAATTGTTTTTCAATTCACATTCAATACAAACCACTTAAGTAAATTATATGGGATTTTGTAATATATTTAATAAACCTTAAAAGACTATTCATGCGACACAAGTTAGTTTTCTTTTGTTTGCCGTATTGAAATCTTTTTACGGGAAATATTTGTATTTTTTATTATACTTTATGATCTTATAAAATTTCTAAAGCATTTTCGTATTCAATATAATTTTTCAAATTAAATTAGTTTTTTATATTCACGTTTGTCTCAAATAGCTGATTGCTCATTTTAATCATTAAGATCCCTGGATCTTGAGTATCTTTTGTCTTGTGAATAATCTATAACTAAAATTTTTTACAATAGTTTTGTACTATGTAAACATCAGAGTTTTTCTTAACAATTATGTAAAACATAACATATACACAAATTTGTGCTATTGTTCATGCTAGAGAATACATATAACTTTATATAGAGAATTTATCTATTAAAATATAACTATGCAACACAAAAAGTTTCATTTATATTAATATTAAATTTATATATATTATAATCTTAAAATCAAAAAACAAAAAAGTTTATTTAAAATAATTTTTATTTTTTATGAAAATAAAATTCTCGCAATACTCATCAAGAAATTTAAAATTTTATTTCGATTTGCGATACATATTATAAAGAATTTAAGCTCGCGAGAATTTTTTATAAAAATGATAAAATGCAAAATTTTGATTAAAGTTTAATAAACATAAGTAGGATTTTTCAAAAATCATAAAATGCAGACATAAAAGCAAGTAATTTCAATTATATACTCTTAAAACATTAATACTTCAATAATAATCTTATAGATAAGTATTTACTTTAAGTATAACTTTTTCACAAGATTTTATATCAAAAAATTATCGGTTAGTTTATATTAAACATTTCACATAACAGCTGCATATATGTCATACCTACAAAAATATTTTTGTCTTATATAATACTAAATATATACAGTTTAATACAGTGTGTTTTTCTCTATAAATTATTCCGACAGTCATTGGTAATAAGTTTTCTTTATAGCTAGATTTAAGCGTTTCAAATTAATTTCTACTAATTTACAACCTTAAATAATCATTTCAGTTAACATAAGCTTAACATTAAATTTGGTTTTTAACTAAAATACTTAAATAATTTTATTTAAAATTAAAGTTTCTTGAGTTGTTCGTAGGTAATAAAAAATATTATATTCCAAGGACCCATACGCACCCACGTTGGAATAAATCCTTTATAGAGCGCAAGCAAACCTTCGTTTCGCACCGTCTAAAAATAAAACAAGAGTTGATATGCTTTGATAGTAATTGTAAAATGTCTAATATATTCTTCACTTACTTGCACCGCACAATCGAAACTACCTGTGTAAAGTTTTTGAGTTGTTGTTGTGGCAACACTATTCTGTACTGTAAGGTGTTTTTGATTCATAAGTCTTGTCTGGAATATATTAAGGCATTTTAAAAATGAAAAATAAACATTCAATTTGACAATTTACCCGTATTACATCTATAGGTGTAGATGCAATTGCACTACCTAAACTTGCTATAAAACTTGAGCTAAAAATAGTAAATAAATAACAAATTATTTTCACAGTTTTTATAAGTTTAGCACTCTCTGAACTCACATAAAATGATTCGCTACGTGATCACCAAAAGTATTCATTAGTTGTAATTTACAAAAATCATAAACGGGTAGTTCTACAGCTGCAATCACAACAGCACGCTGTGATGTAGGACCAACTCCTCGCCATAGACCACGTACGCCTTCATATCTGTATATCTCATTAAAGCACTGAAATAATCCTTTATTTTCTGAACCCTTCCCGTGTACTTGCATTCGAACTTTGAGTACATCAGTGGGATTTGCGATAGCGGATGATATCGTTCCCGCAGCAGCGGCGCAAAGTATATTTCCCCAAACTCTTTCTGTGCCCGTTTCGCTATCTATTAGTAATCCACGTTGACTTGCATATTTTTTCAGTGTATAATATGTACCGAATTTGATAGTACCATAAGTAGCTTGTCTGAGTACAGCAGGCCATATTCTAAAAATATATATCAGACACAGTTGTACGCGATTAGTAATTATTAATAACTGTCGTTTAACGATGTACTTTGTTCGTTCAATTTTTTTAGACTTTTTATTAAAAAACGTGTTTATTTGAGGTATCACGCGTAAACAAAACTGACAGCAACGAAAGTTGTTTTTCTAATTAGTTTTTATTAGTAACTATTCGTCAAACAAATGCTTTTGTAAAATGTCATGCATTGTATAAAACTAATTATAACAAAACGTATTTCTAATTATTATACCTAATTTTTTAATGTAAAAAAATATACATGTGATAAAAATTACTCATTATACTTACTCCATTTGTTGTTATTAAAGTAATTTTAATTTAATATATTCACTGAATAATATAAATATATACAATAAAATAAATATATACAATAATACAAATATATACGTACATATATAAATAATACAAGGAATTCTTTAGAACATTATTGT